AGAAGGTTCACTGAGAACAGCCTGTCTTCCACCTTGGCCACTCACATGCCTGGAGTGTCCTCCAGCCCTAAGTTCTTAGAGGCCAAACCCTGAAGGGCTGAGTTTGTTGTGTTTCTGTAAAGAACATGATGAGAATGACACCTCCACCACCTTGAATCTCGGGACACAGGCGATTCCTTCCTGATTCCTTTACTCAGGACGGTTCTTAATGAATCCCATAATCTTGACGGAGTGGAGAAGAAAATGAAGAAGAAGAAGAAGAAATTAGTGGGCATCAGGTTACTGAAAAGAGTTTTGTTGCTGTTTCTGTTTTGCTCCTGCCCTGCTTGATTGTTGTGTTGTTGGGTGCCGTCGAGTTGAGTATGACTCATAGCAACACTATGAACAACAGAGCTGAACCCTGTCCAATCCCGTGCCATCCTCATCCTCACCTCAGGAAGAAGGCCCTCAATCAGAACGACTGACACAGTGACTGCAGCAATGAGTTCAGCTATGTCAGAAGTGATGAAGATGGCCCCTGCTTTAGATTAAAGGGATCACCTGATATGGCCCACATAACTTAGAAACTTCTTCACAGACCTGAGAGTGTGGTTATTGTTGTGTGCCATTGAATCAGAACAAGAAAAGAGGAGATAAATAATGAACACTGCATTTAAATCGATGAGGGAAAGAACTGTTTAAAAGAAATCTATGATTAAGTATTATTTTCAAGAAAACAGTCCGGAATAAGAGTCCAGAATAACTTTTGCTTAGCAAAGTGGACTGGGGGTGGGGTAGAGGGAGGAAATTGTGCAACAATGAAAGAATCTTCTTAAAGAGAAAAGTGAGCTGGGGAGAGGGGTCAGCAGGAAAATGTGCGACAATGAATGAATGGAAATCCAAGTTTTCTTGTAAACTTTCATTAAAATATTAATAATTTTTTTTTAAAAGAACTGATCCATCGTTGACCCTCCAATGGGTTTTCAGAGGCAGTAAAAGATATACGAGACTGCCCATCCTTTTCCTGTGGAGCATCTGGTGCATTTGAAAGATGTGCCTTTGGGATTGCAGTATAGCTTCTTGCCACTAGGCCATGAGAGCTTCAAGTCTGAGAAACAAATTCAAGCCTTGAGTTACAATACTTAGAGATGCTGTAAGCTGGCGGGGGGGTGGGGGGAGGCGGGGAGGAGAAGCTTGATGATCCAGGAAACATCAAAAGAAGTTGGAGGAAATACGCAGAGTCACTGTACTAAAAAGAATTGGCTGACAGAAGTATTTCAGGAAGTGTCATATGATCAAGAGCCAATGGAAACTTTATTCTTCTGTGGGTTTTTTTTTTAAAAAATAATTGATATTTAAATCCCTTGTATTAGTCAACAATTCATGTTCAGCATTATTTCAACCATTTGCCATCACAGAAAAAGAAATACTTATTTGTGTTTTAAGTAAAACCGGTGTAGGAAAAAAAGGGAAAAAAAAGAGGAAAGCCAATGGTAATGAAGGAATAACTTCCAGCTACACTGAAGACATTGGCAATAAATCAGGCTCCAGTAATCGATAGGATGCCAACTGACAGGTTTCAAATGAGAGACACAGCCCTGGACATGTTTTCCAGTCTGTGGCAGGAATTTGGAGGACAGCTTCCTGGCTGACTGTCTGGAAGAGATCCATATCTGTATCCATTCCCAAGAAATGTGATCCAACAGGATGTTGAAATTATTGAACACTATCCATAATATCACATATAATCAAAATAGAAGATCATTTAAAAAATGGCTAAATAGTACCTAGATGGGGAACTGCCAGACATTCAAGTTGGATTTAGAAGAGGCAGTGCTGATGTTAGATGGATCCTGGCTGAAAGCAAAAAATACCAGAAGAATGTTGACTTTGTAAAAGGCATTTGTCTGTGTGGATCATAACAAGTTATAGTTAACATTGAGAAGAATCCCAGAACACTTAATTGTGCTCGTTAGAAACCTAGACCTAGACCAAAAGACTATTGTGCTAACAGAGCAAAAGCACACTGTTGTAGTTGTTATGTGCCGTCAAGTTGCCTGTGACTCATAGTAACCCTATGTACAACAGCTCTGAACCCTGCTCTATCCTGAGCCAACTTTATTGTCTCTGACACACCCACCCCCATTACCCCAGTCACTGAGTCAATCCATCTCACCCAGGGTCTTCCTCTCTTCCAAGCAAGATATCCCTCTCCAAAGATTGGCCCCTTCTTGCAACATGCGCAAAGTGTATCTAATGGAGCTTCAGAATCCTTGTCTCCAAAGAGCACCCTGGTTTCACACTCTACATTGTTTAAAATTAAGAAAAATAGGAATCAGGGTTGAATCCTTTCTCCATACCTATTTAATCTGTATGTTGAGCAAATTATCTAAGAAGTTGGATTCTATAAAGAAGAATGTGGCATCAGGATTGGAAGGAGACTCATCAATAACCTGTTATGCAGATGATACAACTTTGCTTGCTCAAAGTGAGGAGGGTTTGAAGCTCTTGATGCAGATGGTTAAAATACTGCAGCCTTCAATATAGATTGCATCGTAAAGTCAAGAAAACAAAATTTGTCACCACTGGACCAAGTGGCAACATCATGGTAGATGGGGAAAAAACTGAAACTGTCAACAACTTCATTTTACTTAGATCCACAATCAATACACTTGGTACTAGCAGTTGGGAGATCAGGAGACATTGCACTGGGAAAATGTGTAGTCAGGACATCTCCAAATTATTGAGGAGCAATGATATCAGTTTGAGGACTAAGGTGCCCTTGACTCAGACTGTGGTCTTTTCAATCACTTGCTATGCTACTCAGAGCTGGACAGTGACTAAGGATGACAGAAGAAGAATTGATGGAGAGGACTGAATTACCCATGGACGGCCAAAAGAACAGATATGTCTTGGGTAAAGTGCAGCCAGAATGCTCCTTGAAGGCAAAGATGATACAGTTTCGACTCACATACTTTGGGCATGTTGCTAGGAGAGGTTATTCCTTGGAAAGGAACATCAAGCTTGGGAAGGTGGAAGGATGGCAAAGGAGAGGAAGACCCTCGTCCAGGTGGATTGACTTAAGCGACTGCAGCAACGAGCTTGATTGAGTGTGTCACAGATTGTGAGGATGGCACAGGATAAGACAGGGCTCAGATCTGTTGGTCATAGGGTTACTGTGAGTCGCACTCAACTCGAAGGCACCATAACAACAACCCGTATAAAGGAAAACCCGCCCACCTGCAGCCCCTGGCTCAGCTGGGCTCCACCCAGGCCCTGCGGGAGTGTGGGGCGGGGCCGGCAGGGAGGCCGGCCGGCAGGAGCATGGTGGCTGCACTCGCTACCCGAGCGTCCCACACCTGCCAGTCTCCATGGGTCCACTGCATCTGTGCTTGCTGGCCATGCATCTCCTGCTGTCGCTGCTGTCGGACCTGGGACCTGGATCAGGCGCCGGTGAGTGAGACAAGTGGCCTCTTGCGAGGACCCTCCAAAGCCCCAGAGATTTCCCCAGACCCGGCTAGGGACTCAGGAGCCCAGCCTCCCCACTTCTGTGCAAGGAGTCACTGCCCCTCCCCAGGCTCCCGGGTCGCTGCAGTGTGCCCGGTAGCTCTGTCTGTGGGCACTCTCCCACCCATTTCTTCCCAGGAGACTGGCTCTTCAGACCTCCCTGGGGGACCCATTCTTTCACCCCTGCCAGGCTCCCAGGACTCCCCCAGTTCCTCTTAATCAGCTTCCTCAGAAACTTTTCTTACTTGTTACAAAACCCTCTGAAGTCACTCCATGATCAGGGGTCCTGTGAACTGACTCATTCCCTCCAGGCTTGGTACCTCAAGTGGGTTCTCCAGGAGGACCTCAGAGGGGAAGGAGCAGAGGTAGAAGAGCCATCTGTTCCCCAGAGGAGGAGGACAGACTATCGTCTCCTCTCCCCCACCTCAGAGAAGGCCCCTCTGTGGCTGTGTGTTCCTGGGGTGCACAGACATGAAATGGGGAGTTTTCAGGCTCTGAGCACGTGGAGACACACAGACAAGAACCACCCAGCCTCACCTGACACATGGTTTGTGCTCATGGCTAAAGCCGACAGCCCCAGCCCGCCCTCCCTGAACAGACACAGACACAGGGTTAAGTAGTCAGCCCCCCAGGGCAGACATAGACACAACAGGGTCAATGAGAAGGTCACCCCCCCCTCCCACAGCAGACTCAGATATACAACAGAAAGACAGACACACAGAGTCACTGAGACCAACTCGGACACAGGATGAATGTGGACACACAGATCACCAAGTCAGCCTGGAGGACAGACTCAGGTACATGATAGACACATGAACAAACAGACACAGATGGACATACGTATAGGCATGTCCACAGGAGCAAATTTAGACACACGTGGATCCAAAACACACACATGCGCGGTGACACATGATCAGATGCAAGCATGTGTGTGCGGACACACATACACACAGATTTCCACAGCTGCCCTGCATACCCATTCTCCTCTCTCCTCTCTCTCTCTCCCTCTCTCTCTCTCTCTCTCACACACACACACACACACACACACACACACACACACACACACACACACAGAGTCATACTCAGGAACTCAAAGGGGCAAATTCATACACAGACTCTGTAGCAGGAACACAGATTCCCACAGTAGAGGCACATACGCACGCACACACCCACCTTCACAAATAGACGTGTTCAGCTGGTGCTCACCCATTCCCTGACATATACACAGACACAAATGCACAGAGTACAGATGCACAGCATAGCCACTCTGAGGGGGGAGATGCAACACACAATTGACATACTCCCAGGCTCAGAAAAGCCACACACACACACATCACCACAGGCGTGCACATAGACTGAACACCTAGAATGCACACACACAGACCCTTGGCCCACAGGAGCACATTCGCCCTGGCACGCCCTCATTGGAACAAACAGAGCCCAGCACGACCTGCCCCACCTCGGCTGCCACGGCAGAGTCTGCTGGCTCCAAACCAGTGCTGGGTGTCACCCTGGGCCAGGCCCTCTGGAAGGCTGTGCCCAGCCAAGGCCATTTGGTGTCAAGAATGATGGAACAGAAGGAGAAGGAAAAGGAAAGATTCAATGGGGACTCGAAAAGACCAAGTAATATTAGGCATTATTGTTGTTGTTGTGTATGTACCATATTGTCGGAACTGACCCATAGCTGACCCTTCAGTGGGTTTTGAGAGGCAGTTAATCGCATGGGAGGAGATTGCCCATCTTTCTTCTACAGAGCAGCTGGTGGCCTCGAACCACGTGTCTTCAGGTCTGCAGCGCAGCTTCTTTCCACAAGGCCACCAGAGCTCACTAATAGTAGGCATTAATTAAAAAATTAATTATAATCTAGTATATAAAATACAATGTATATATGAATCCTTGCCTAAAACACAATGTAAATTAAAAATTATACAAAATATAATGATGTGAATGAAACACAATGTAAACTAATATGCAAACCAATTAAAAAAAAAAGAATGATGAGGTAGGAATACTGGGAATAGTTGAGCCCCAGTCTGAGGTGCTTAGGGTGGGATGTTCCATGGGACCTTTCCTGAATTCTCACTAAACTCAGGCGTGGGACACATACATGGCTGCAGAAGGTGGCAGCCTTTACCCTCAAGAAATTGCAAGCTGCATCAGGCATGCTCTCCCCTAAGCAGACAGACGACAGGGTGATAGAACGTGCTGTGGTCTCTGGGGGTCAAGGAAAGGAAGACTCCAGGAAGCGGCTCTAGAGTGGACTGAGGGTTGGGTGTGGACATTCCCAGCAGGGGAACCAGAAATGATGCAAGAGTCTGGAGGATAAATCATGTGAGGAGCTTTGAAAGATGATGCTGGGAGTGGTACAGAAAAGGGGCTGACTCTTCTCCACTCGATCCTCCAGGCACCTGGAGCCGTGGAAGGTTCTAGAAGGGGATGTAGGCTGTTTGAAGTAGCACCTGGTTCCTCCTAGGTAAAAGATACAGATGTCATGTTGCTAGGTGCCTGAGAAGACTATGACGCATAGTGACCCTATGAATAATGGATCTGAACCTTGCCTTGTCCCACACTGTCCTCATGTCAGTCCATCTCCTTGAGGGTCTTCTTCTCTTTCTCGGACCCTTCCAAGTTGGACGGAGGAACAATCTTATGTTGGAGAAGAGTACTGAATATCCCATGGACAGACCAAAGAACAAATCTGTCTTGTAGAAAGTGCCAGCCACGTGATGCTCAAAAGCAGGATAGTGAAACATCTTCTCACTGTTCTTAGGAGGGACCAGTCCTTGGAGAGAGATATTATGCTGGGGAATGTGGAGGAGGGTGAAGACATCAAATCCAAAGTCATCTTTACATTTTCCTGTCTGTTTTGTCTCTTTCTCTTCCTCTATAATGAATTGGCTATGTTTTTCACTGAGGAAAAAAAAATAGAATTCATTTTCATCTGAACCTTTGCAAAAAAGTCAGTGTAGTGAAGAAAGGTGCTAGTTGAAGGGAAGGAAGGAGGATGATAAGGAACAACCAAACCCAATCATGACTCTGAGTCAGTCCCTGAATGGAGCGAGAGCAGGCTTCAGTTAGGTGACCCAGCGGCAGTGTCCGCTCTGACACTCAATGGGTGTGAACTCTCTTAGCCTCAAACTCCCCATCTGTGACATCTGATGTGTGATGATGTCTGTGAGTGGAGACTCTGTGAATGGGGGCGGGGTGGGGTGGGGTGGGGAGGAGGTCAGGAAATTTCATATCCATCTATCAGCTTCATCCATGGGGAGTTGTGCAGCTAAGTCCACACCCTACCCGGAATTGGAATTCTGTGGGAAAAAGATGAGCACTCTCTTCCTGTGTGATTTACAGCCTCCAGCAATCTGCCAGAGGGCCCGCTGTGAGTCAGTTCCAAATTGACAGGGACAACTTGAGTTCTATCAGTGCTGGGGCAGTTGTTGTGGCCACTGGCCAGCGGGGGAGACTCCGCACCCTTGCAGGAAGGAGGGGACACTCTAGGATTCTAGGACTCACGGTCCCACAGGATTTGAAAGCCCCTAAATCCTGAGCCGCCAAAGCAAAGGGAAGAGATCAATATCTTAAGGAGCTGAACAGAAGATTTTAAAGGGCAGCACAGGAAGGCAAAGTAAAGTAGTATAAGGAAATGTGCAAAGAGCGGGAGATGAAACTCAAGAGACAAGCTTGCTCAGCATTTCTTAAGCTGAAGGAACAAATTTAAGCCTCGAGTTGCAATACCTGAGGAAGCTGTGAGCAGAACGCTGAATGACACAGGAAGTATAAAAAAAAAGATGGACAGAGTACATAGAGTCACTATTCCGAAAAGAATTGGCTGAGAAAGAAGAATTTTATGAATCAACATAGGATCAAGAGCCTATGGTGATGAAGGAGGAACTTAAAGCTGCTCTGAAGGAACTGGCAAAAGATAAGGCCCCAGGAATTGATGTAATACCAATTGGCATATTTCAGCAAACAGATGATACCTTGAATGTGCTCACCAGGTGCCAAGAAATCTGGAGGACAAACACCTGGCCAACTGACTAGAAGAGATTCTTATTTATTCCCATTCCAAAAAAAAAAAAAAGATGACTTCACAGAGTGTGGAGATTATTGAACAGTATCATTAATATCCCATGCAAGCAAGATCCTGCTGAAAATTACACCAAGACAACTGGAACAGCACATCAACAGAGACCTGCCAGATGTGCAGGCTGGGTATAGAAGAGGCCGTGGCACTAGAGACATTATAGCCAATGTTAGATGGATCTTAGCTGAAAGCAAAGAATAGTAGAAGAATGTCTGTCTGTGTTTCATTGTCTATGCAAAGGCATTTGACTGTGTGAATCACAACAAACTGTGGCTAACTCTGAGAAAAATGGGGATCCCAGAACACTTATGTTAACGTGAAACCTGTACTTGGACCAGGAGGCAGTTGTCAGAACAGAGCAAGGAAACACTGCATGGTACAAAATCAGGAAAAGTGTATGCCAAGAATGCATCCCATCTCCATACTTTTTCAATATATATGCAGAACAGATCATTCGGGAGGCTGGGCTCTATGAGGAGGAATATGGCATCAGGATTGGAGAAAGACTCATCAACAACCTGCATTATGCAGATGACACAACCTTGCTTGGCAAAATCTGCCAAGGTCAAGAACTGCAGCCTTCAATATGGATTAAAGTTCAACATCAAGAAAACAACCCACCACCAGGCCAATTGGCAGCATCATGATGGATGGAGAAGAGATTGAGATTGTTAACAGCTTCCACTTGCTCGGCTTCACTATCAACAATCTTGGTACCAGCAGCCAGGAAATGAGAAGATTAATTGAACTGGGAAAATCTGCTGTCAGAGACCACTCCAGAGTACTGAAGAGCAATGACATTAGTCTGGTCAAGTTGCACCCGATCCAGTCCCTGGTCTTTACAATTACGTGGCATGCAGCAGAGAGCTAGAAAGTGACTAAGGATGATAGAAGAAGATTCGATGCCTTTGAGCTGTGGTGCTGGAAATGAGTACTGAATATGCCAGGGACTGCTAGGATAACAAACAGATCAATCCTGGAGAGGGTGAAACTAGGCTGCTCCTTCGAGACAAGGATTCTAAAGCTCCATCTGACATACTTTGGGCATGCTGCAAGGAGGGACCAGTCCTTGGAGAGGAACATCATGCTTGGAAGGGTGGAGGAACAGTTCAAGAGAGGAAGACCCTCGATGAGATGGATTGACTCAGTAACTGAGGTAATGGGGGTAGGTGTGTCAGAGACAATGAAACTGGCTCATGATCAAGCAGGTGTAGGGGAGAGATAGAACAGGGTTCAGAACTGTCGTTTACAGAGTCGCTATGAGTTGCAGGCAACTTGATGGTACATAACAACAACAACAACAACATAACCGTGAACACTTGCCACCATAGTACCCCTCAGTTCAGTCACCCTGGCAAGGCCCCCTTCCTTGCTGTTATTTGGTGAGGAAGGAGCCCTGGGTTGATTAGAAGCTGGGGTCTGAGCCCAGATAAAGACCTTGTTGGGCCACTTCTTTCTCACCTGTCAAAAGCAAGGGTTTCCATCTGTCTTAGTTCTATGTTGTTAGGTGCTGTTGGTCAGGCTATGGCCCTGTGAACAACCACAGAGGGAAATCTTGCCCTATCCTGCCCCGTCCCCATCATCTCTGTCATGTTCAAGCTCATAGTATTCCCTGTCACTCTATCTTCCTGAGGGTCTTCCTCTTATTTCTCTTGTGCTGCTCTAACAGATACACTGCAAAGTGATAGCTTTAGCAAACACAAATTTCTTCTCTTACAGTTGAGGAGGCTAGAAGTTCAAAGTCTGGGGCAGAGGGGTGGTTTGTGTGTGGGGAGGCCCTGCCTGTCAGTTGATTGTGGAGGAAGATCTGTTTCCTCCAGTGTCTGTAGTGTGTCTTACCCTCCCCAGTGACACAGAGCCTGGGTTCCAAAAGGACCTACTATTTCTTGATGATACTAAGGGTTTCCCCTCTAGGCTCGCTTTGCTCCCCATTTATCTCTGTTGAAATAAAAGATATTGCGGGTTACCCCCTAGGGGACCTCCCCTTATTTCTCATTAGGATTGTGATGGGATTAGGAGTGTTGCGCCCCACCCTTAATCCTCCTGCAACTGTTTGTTTTATCAGCTCACCGAGGATCACATATCCTTTACATTGTAGAGGTGTATTCGGGCGGGCACAGCTCAGGCCATGACACCATCACATCACACCTTTGTACCCACTATGTTTCCCGTGGGACCAGAGATTCTGAGAAGTGGCTGGGCTGGGGCCATAGGGCATCCTGGTGTGGGAGGAAGTGTGCCTGGGCTGTGAGATGTGAGGGCAGATGCAGAGGACCCTGACTCCAGAGGCGGGGACACTGGGGAAGACGTGTTCTGGGACTGGAAAGACTCATCCAGGGCGGCACCTTGGTGGAGGGACCTGGCTAATTTGTGAAGCCCAAACTCCGGCATCTAGAATTGCATAAATGTTTCCTGCCTGGCATGGACTTGGGGTCTGGAGTTGATGAGGGTGGAAGGGGCAGTCTGAAAAAGAGAGAGCAGCTGTGCAAAGGCCCTGTGGTGTGATTGCTCATACACTGGGCTCCGTGCCTTTTTTTTCCCCTTCATAACTACCTTGAGCCAGGTCATAGTGACACTCAGAGCTTGTTATGTGCTCACTGCTTAACATGCATTGCCGAGTCCCTTCACCTCACAGAGAAGAACATCAAAGCACAGAGACGTTGAGTAACTTTTCCAAGGCCACACAGTGCTGATTTAGGAGAAGCAGGATTAGAAGCCCTGCAGTCAGGCTACAGCAGCTAGGCCTTTCTGAGGCTGGTGCCCACCACACGCCCCTCCCCAGGGCAGGGGCAACCCAGGCCTGCAGCCCCCCCCCCCCATGACCTTTGCTTTCTTACTAGTCTTCAGGAAGTCACACGTGCACCGGCGTGGGCTCCTGGAGCTGGCGGGGACTCTACAGTGTGCCCACACCCGGGGAGCCTTGGCCTACATTAGCTATGGCTGCCACTGTGGCCTGGGTGGCCATGGCCAACCTCGGGATTCTGCAGACAGGTAAGTACATCCTGGGACAGATCTGAAATCTCCATGTTCTGTGAGGTTGGCCTGCGGCTTGTGAGGGAATAGCCAAGAAAGGATAGAAGGACTTAGGTTCAAGAGGGTCCAGCTTGTGGTACTGTTTAATAGCCAGTGGGGCCAGATCCTGGAGGCCCAGCCAGCCCAGGGTGATGGCTTTGTCTGGCAAATGGCACAACCTTCCAATTACAGTTCAAACATCACCCCCTCTGGGAAGTGCTCCCTGATGTCCAGTTGGGCCTGGCACCTTTTCTGGGCTCCTAGAATTCCTTCCTCTTACCTAAATTCCAGCATCTCTCAGCCAGACTAGGGACGACTCTCTGAGGATCCTGAATGGCCTTTTCTCCCAGCGCAGCGAGGTGGATGGAGGTCAGTCCCCTCTGGGGACTTCAGGGGAAGCAAACGGGGGCCATGAACCTCAGGGTCTGTGAGGACAGACATAATCAGCTCCTTAATGAGAGGCCAATTTAATGAAAGGATGCAAAGGAGAGATTCCCCTAGCACATTTGGGAGGTCAGAGGTGACTCCTTAAAACATTCCCTGACGGGGAAGAGCCTGGTTTAATAAGAGGGTGGACAGAGGGGCCCATTCCACCTGGAGGAGGGAAGTGAAGGGGTGGTGAAGGGGTACGTTGGAGGGTGAAGCAGGAAGGCTGAGCATTAACACGGGAAGAGTGGTTGTGGCTTTCTTTGTTCTAAGTAGAGGACAGGACACAGGCAAAGTCAGACACAGAGGCCAGTGTGGCTGCACCTCAGGGACTCGGGGAGGGAAGTGGACATGCAGACCAGCTGAGTTATTGCTAGGGACAAGGTTTACCAGGTCAGAGCTTAAAGCAGTGGATGCTGGCCCCGGAGGGACCTGGCATGAGAGATTAAGAAGCAGTGGTGCCCTGGCTGTACCCACCTATCTGTCCACCGTCTGCCACCCACAGGTGCTGCCACATCCATGACTGCTGCTATGGACTTGCCGAGGAGGCTGGCTGCCGGCCCAAGCTGCACCGTTACTCCTGGGCATGTGTCAATGGTCAGGTGGTGTGCGGTGAGTCCCCAGGGCGACCCACACAGCCCCGTTCTCCTGGGCATCTCTTGAGCATCCTGGCGGAGCCAGACAACCTCTCTGTGTCCTAACTGTGGTCATTTACAGCTGCCACTGATTCTCGCCATTCATCTGTTGGTTAGGCATTTGGGTTACTTCCCTCTTTTGACTGTCCTGTTACGAAGACTTATGTAAAAGCACCTGAGTACCTGTTCTTTGGGGCATATCCTTGGGAGTGTGATTATTGAGTCTAAAGGATAATTTCACATCTAACTTCTGGAGAAACGGCTAGAAACTGTTTTCCACAATACCCGATCTTTTTTTTAACTGCATTTGCATGTTCTAACCTTTCCACAGCCTCAGGAACATTTGTACATTTTTGTGTATTTATTATTATAGCCATCCTGTTTGGTTGAAAGTGGTTTTTCTATTGTTACTTGATTTACATTTCCCTGCTACCTAGTTATGTTGAGCACATTTTTATGCGTTGTCTGTTTGTATATTTTTATTGAGGAAATGTCTGCTTGAGTGCTTTGCCCAATTTTATATGGTATTGGACTGCTTGTCATTTTACTGTTGAATTGTAAGAATTTTTTTATAGATTCTGCTTTCCTTGTGAGATCTATGGTTAATCATATATTGGTTTCCCCATTCTGTAGACTGCATGTTCATTTTCTTTTAAAAAACTTCTTTTTTTCCATTTTCTTAGTAATGTTCTCTGATGCATAAAAGTTTTTCTTTTGATGAAGTTCAACTTACCTATTTTTTTTCTTTTGTTACTTGTGGTTTTAGTATCATATCTAGGAATCCATTATCAAAACCAAGGTCAGAAAGATTAAACACTATATTTTCTCCTAATAATTTTATCATTTCAGCTCTTTTACTTCGGGTGTTGATCTACTTTGATAACAATTTTATATGTGGTATGAGGTAGGGAACCAATTCTGTTTCTGCAGATGGATATCTAATAATCTCAATACCATGGTTGAGTGACTTTTTTCCTGCAGAGCAATTTTATGAAAGACAGCAATTTTTTTATCTGTTTACTTATCTGTCTATGTCTTCCCACTGCCCCCATCTATTTTTTCTAACTACAGCAGCATTTATTGAATGAAGACAATTGTAACATAATCCTTTCTAATAATACTACAGTGTACATTTTATATGAAGAGCCCCTAGTAAAGTTAAAATGTTGTTGTTTTTTTGTTAAGTGCCGTCAAGTTGTAGGCAACTCATAGCGACCTTATGAACGAAAGTCCTCAACACTTGTGTGACTTTCATCCTTTCTCCAGGTTTACAAGGTTTCCAGAGGCAAGCTATTACAGTAGTGGATGTCACTCCTGCTTCCAAGCTTGTTTTAATCGGGGAGCTCCACCAAACACTGTCTGCCATGGGTAACCATTAATGCATTTGACACATCAACTTTTTAAAAAAGTTAAAATAGAAACAAACAAACAAAAATGTAGTTGAAAATGTCAGATGTCGCTCCAGGCAACCTTACTGGATTTGAAAACCAGGCAATAAAAAGAGAAATGAGTTGGCTATTCACATTCCAATGGAATCATTCTCATGGATTCTCATGGATCGTATGTTACGTTTTTATAGGTTTCTTGACAAATAGCACGTGTGGACAGGCAGAATGGATGTGGAATCTTGAGTGATCTGAGGAAGTAGAAGTAACCTTTTGGAGGCCAGGTGGGGTTGTGGACAGGATAACAGATAAGACTGGAAACTGCCTTCCTGGCTTCAGGCGCGTGACTTGCCCCCTCTCAATCACAGCTTCCTCACCTAGAAGATGGGTGTTGTAAGATGGGAAAAGGGATTGTCATTTATGAGGTGATTGGCATATCTCCTTTCAGGGAGGGAGGTCTGTCCCTTTGAAGATATATAACTTTCTAATAAATCTGTCATTACTCTTTTACCCTAAAAAAGATTGATTTATATGGGCAGAAGGTATAACTCTGTCCCTGCCACTCCCCCCTCGCTCTTAAATTCTGTTCTGAGTGTCTCTCTGACGCTGCTCCCTTTTCTTTTTTTTTTTTTATTTTATTGGGAAAACCATGTTGGGGAGCAGAAGGGTGAGGATGGGCAGGGATGAAAATTGCAGGGATGCAGTTGCAAGGCTGCACAATTTGGTTGGTGGGGGGAGCAGGAGAAGGAAATGAAAAGGATCCAGTGGGGACCAGATGATTCAGGGCAATGGTAAGCATAGTCCAATGATGAGTAAACAAACTGTCTTTTTCACTTGTGAGTTTCTCATTTGGGAATTGGGCGCAGACTCTCTGGCTTCTTCATGCTGAACAGGGGCATGATGTGAAGGGGGAAAGGTACACACTTTATCCCCTTACTGGTGGTCTTGGGTTGAAGCTGCTTGCCTTCTTGTTCTGTTAGAAGATGTTTTCCTGACATTTACTCCCCTCTGGACTGCAAAGTATTTTCGCAGGTGGGTCCAGTGGGCACGGTTGACTGAACCCTGAGGCTCCATCCTCCTTTGCTTCCTTCACTGGCCATTGTATTTCCCTTTTTGTCTCCAAAACTGGGTTCAGGGTCAGGTCTGGAGTAAAACTCAGTGTTAAGTTTACCTACAGAAAAGTGAGCAAATCTAGAGAGAACAAACTTGTGAGTTACAAATAGAAGGGCATGGGGATGTTACTTATGGGTGTACTGGGGGAGAGGGTGGAGGAAAGTAATCTCAATAAAATTCTCTGTATACCGTAGGCAGTTTTTTCTACCCAGGGGTCAGATGGTACAATCCGAGGGCTGAGGAGCTCACCCCGAGGGCCAGCTTGCCCCACCAGGGGCTGAACACACGGCTCGCCCCACCGCCCGCCAGGGGCTGCTCCCTTTTCCAAAGAGATTGGAAGAGCTAGTGTGTAACTCCCACCAAGCACCTTATCTCTGAAGAGTTGACCTGTTCTGGAGGCAAAGTCAATCATAAGGATTACTAGAAAGATGTTCCCTGATATGCATTTATTTCCAGTTGTGTAGATAGTTGTTAGCGGCTGTCAACTAGGACTCCCAGTGACCCTCTGGAAACACATCTGAGCCTCGCGCTATCCTGTGCCATTCTTACTCTGATAAGTTAGAGCCCTTGTTACAGTCACTGTGTCAATCGTCATTTTAAGGGTCATCCTCTCTTTCTCTGACCCTCTATATTTCTTCCAGGATATCTTTTTTCCAAGGACTGGCCCCTCTTGACAACAAGCTCAAAGTAAGAGACAAAGCTTCATAGCTAGGAGTTGGCATTAGATTAAAACAGAGATAGGATATCAGTATTTGAGGGCAAGAAGGATCCCTCAGCATCATCTCACCCAAAGCTTGGCTTCAGAGTTAGAGGTAACTGAGATCCGAAGAGAGGAAGTGATTTGCCTAAAGCAGCGGTGCCATGCTTATCACTGGACACCTTTCTGGTTCCCACGCTGTCCTCCTCCAGTGCATGGAGGTGGTAAAATGGGTTCTAAATGGAGAATCTGTCAAAGATTTGCCCCTTCCCCTTTAACCTCCCTTTTCTGCTTGGCCTTCACCATGAGCAAATGCTGTTTGTACGCCCTCCGTTGGTGTACCTGCTGGCCAAGTCCACACCTGTTTACAGAGCCCTTCCCTGAACCAAACCAAATGAGCCAGATGAACCAAAATATTATATATTTTTGGTTCAAAATATTCTTACTCTGTTTGGAGACATTCTAAGCATAGTTACTGGGGATGGTTTTGTTGTTGTTTTTTTATTTATTTGTTTTGGGTTTTTTTCCTAGTGACCAGTTCAGCCCAGTTTCCATTTATGGGCTTGACTTAAATATTTTTTTAAAAAATATAAAGCCTATAATAATAATAATCATAACAATATTTACTGAAAGGCCTCAAATAATTTTAAGTGTGATGAGCAAACCCTTGAGAGCTATTTTCCATCTTTAGTTTTTATTATTCTCCAAAAACGTGGTGGCCCAGGTCCTTGAGGCCACAGAGTAGTGGGATCAAGTCTTACTCTTCAGAGAACTTTTCTGTTTTGGAGAAGAGGGTGAGGGATTCGGGGAGGACAGCACTATACCAGGAGGTCCTGGGTCGGAACTCTGGTCTACCCTTTCCATGACCTGGAGTGAGCCTTTGAATCCTTCTGACCCTCTCTTTTCTCATCTGTGCAAATGAGAGTGTTAATGCTTACCTGCGGAGTCCGCCTGAGAATTGGCAATGATGGATCACTTTTTCTGGGTGCGTCCAGCTGAGGGCATTGAGAATCTGCTCTGCCAGGCTCTGTGTGCGGTGCTGAAGAAACAGTGATGGGCGCTGTTGAGAGGGAGGAGACGGCGTCAGCCTGCGGGAAGATAGTGTGGATGCTCTGAGAGGTGATGCAAGGACAAATCAAACAGGGGTGCAGGTAGAGTACCCTGTTGTGTGCACTGAGGGGGTCAGTTAATGGGAAGAACCATTGAAGCAGAGACAGGGCACCATGGCATGTTCTGCCAGGAAGTGCATTCCAGGGTGTCCCATCTGAAGAACATAAGGTAGGGTGAGGGGTGGGGAGGTGATGAGGTCAGAGAGTAAGGGGGGTGCCATGTCCCATGGAGTCGTTGAAAGTTTTTTTCTGAGGAACCAGTGGGGCTTAGGGAAGAGGAGGGACATGACCTGATTGTGTTTTCACAGATCCATGCTGGCTGGTGCCCTGCTGGCTAACACATGTGTGTGTTGTGCTGCTCTCTGAAAGGTTGGCAGTTCGAATCCATGAGCAGCTCATTGGGAGAATGATGGACAGTCTCTTTCTGTTGTAATTTACAGCCTCAGAAGCTCAGTGGAGGGTGGCTGTGAGAGGAATTGAATTGATGGGTTTAGTTTGCTGCATGGAAAGGCCAGTGCCAGTCACAAGGCAGGGCCTCAATGAGAGATGGGGCAGCAGTGTGGACATGGTGGGAGGGTCTGGGTTCAGGGTGCATTTAACTGGAAGGTTGAATATGCATGAATATACACAGGTATATACACATGTATGCTATAACTTCATACTTATTATAATA